TGAGCAGTTTTACTCCTTTAAACAGGAACTACTTTTAATAACTCATGTTTTTTATTTATTAAACATTTAAAGTTTTCTTTAGAACAATAAAAAGTTAAATTATATAAAATGTGTCTTAATACTACAGGAGACTGTAAAAAAGGTACCACTGGGGCCTCTTATGGATAAGCAGCTATATGAAACATATAGCTGCATAATTAAAACTATGGTAAGTGTTTTTTATGATGCATCATTTATTTTTATAGACAAGTATTTGTATAAATGAGCTGTCACAGCAACAAAATCAGTTCTTTATTTGTGATCAGTGTTGGTCYGTTTCACACATCAACAACAAAACAAAAACTGCAGAAATAAAATCCAGAAAAATACTTTTATTTGGTGAAATAACACAAGGGCAATACCAGGATCTTTGTAATGCATGTTTGTTTTGTTGTAACTGTTTCATACTTTTTGTTCCACATGATTTAAAAAAAAATTCATTTCTGATTCTTGCTTTACCTCCGGTGAGAAACATTTGGCACTCAGGGAAGTCCAACACATGTCAGAGACACTACAAAGTAACAGAGGCAGCATTTCAGATGAGCTGACAGACATTCTGATCTGTTCACCAACATTAAAACACACTGGTACTGTCCTTTTAGCTTGTGTTACAGTAACATCATTAGTTGTGACATTTACAAGTTCAAAATTAATCGTGGTCCGCAAGGTTTCTCCTTTCCGTCCTCGGCGTTGGAGCCTCATTTCTCCTCTGGGATCAAACAAACGGAGGCCGTACTCAAAAGGCAGCGCAATAAAAAAAATAAAAAATCTAATCCTAAACGTAAAGCCACAGTTACCTCCTGCTGCGCTTTTCTACCGCCTGACTTCAACTATCTGTCTGAGTCGACGTCTTCTCGTCGTGGAAATAGGAATGTTCAAGTGCATCCAGGGCCGATATTCGTTTCAGAGGGTCAAACATCAGCATTTGCTGTGAAGGAAAGAAAAAAAAGAATAAAATTTTATATAGAACACAGAAATTTACAATATTTTCATTCACAACCCAAAGAATGAGATCCCAAATACAAGTGACTGAAATGAGTTTCATTTGTAGGTAGATATTGTATATCTCTAGGTTCTAAAAGAATAAATAAAATTATTTTCTTTTTTCCCCCTCCATATTGGTCATCTCAGGTTTACATTTGGTGTTTTTATCCTCTCGTCTATGTGACTAATTAAGGGGAAATATGTCCATGTCCAAAATCAGGCGTGATAACCAGACTTGTGCACCTGCCTTACCATCAAGAGTTTTGCCCCCTGGTCGTTTATCTCTGGAACAAAATCGGTGATTGGGCGAGCCTTGACGGGGGCAAAGTTTTTTCTCGTCACTGTAACGCCCGCCGGCCACTCCTCATCCGGCGGCAAACCGATAACCCTGAAGCAACACAAAACAAGTGTAATCATTCATTTCATGATTTATCATTATTATTTATCATCTTATTATTTCAGCTGATGGGATGGAAACTTTGTGTTACTCACTCAAAAATCTTCCCAAGTTGGTCCATTTCTGACTCTCCACAAAACAATGGTCTAAAAATAATAATAAAGTAGGATTAGTTAAAAGAGTAAAGCTGATTGACAGAATGAGGTAAGCCACATAGGTTAGTTTATTTTAATTGATTTTATGTTGTTTAATTCATTTTTAATATAGGGCTAATTTTACTGATTATGCCTTTTGAGGTCTTATCTATACTTCTGTGAAACATTTTCTGGCTGATTAAAATACTTTATAAATAAAGCTGGTGTGGTAAAACAAGTTTAAATCATCATCCTTTTCATATTAATAGTCCATAAATATTTTAATGTATTTACTTCTTCACCCTATTATCAACATCATGAAAAATCCAATTTTCACCATAAGATGGCGCTACTGTGCACATCACTGARCTGAACGGTGCTTTTCATTTCCTCTGATAGACAGGACGTCACCTCCAGCTGCTCACAGAACTCCAGCTGTATTAATCTCTAAATTAAACCTCTACATTTTAACGAACATCTTTCCATGATGCAAGAGGTACAGCTGAGGTCAGGATTGAAAACGACGACGGGCTGATTTGAAAACTTGTTCGACAGTAAAATCCAACCATGAGTTGTTTCATAACATGCAGACAGAAAAGCTCAGCATCTGTTTTCTGATTCCAAAAACACCAGAAGTTAAAGAGTGAAAAGAGTAAAACACACACTGTGGAAAACATGAGTGAACAAACCTTTAAAGAATTACCAACATGTGACGTACAAATCATAAATTCTGCTTCAAGAGTCACAAACCATTTATTACCCTGCACTTACGGATTAAATATTGAATAAAAATCATCTCATAAATCAAATAGAAACGTAGTTATACATCAGAACATAAATGAACAGCATAGTGGACGCACGGTTTTCCTGAACTCTGACTCACTTGCGTCTGAACATCTCRCTGAAGATGCAGCCGGTGCTCCAGATATCCACAGGGGTGGCGTATGTGGACTGCAGCAGAACTTCAGGAGGTCTGTACCACAGAGTCACCACCTACGAGACAAACACAAGACACACATTACAACCCACAGGTAGAGCAACAACCTGTCAATAGACACTTTATTTATTTATTTACAAATTTAGCTGAAATTAGATATTTTTTCCAAGATTTTCCACACATATTTAGGCAGAACACCTTCAACAGCAGGAAGTTTATTACACTATAATAAAAAAACAGCAAGTTAAACAGTGAACATAACCTGTTAAACCCCTAAAGTAGGGATGTTAATTTCTTTATTTATTTTTTTAACTGGCTAATTTTTTTCCCCTGTAATTATGAATCGTGATTAAYACGTTAAAGTCCTGGCTCTAGATTTGACATACGATATTATGCACAAAAACGTATAAATTTGTGTAAAATAAGCCATAGTCATTTTATATTGTAAATCTGAATTTCTAGATATCTGTTTCACAGCATTTTGGATAAACACAAACRTAGCAGCTGCATCTTTGGGTTCACCAACATGATAAACGCAGATAATCTACATGTTTAGCAGTAATCACACTGCAATCCTCTGAATCGCAATCCAAGTGAATTGGCAGACACTTACAGGTTCCCACCTCTAGCTGTACTCAAAATCCTATTTTTTATGAACTTTTACATTGCAGTTAGTTTTTATGGTTATTTATACAGAAGTTTGTGGTAATTTGCAAGCAMAGACAGCAGCAGCAGCTAACTGTAGCACTTCTGGTGCAGCCTGGGGGCACTTCCAGGGGAATTAATGTAATTATATTTCTGCCAGAATAATTGCATGATCCAAACCTGACAACAGTGTAAAGGTTCATATATTAGTACTGTACGAAAAATGTAAAATAAAGCTGAGTGGGTCTCATCCAGAGGACCGATTCAATCGTTTATATAAACGTTAGATGATTGGATTATTGAGACGAATCAGGATGGCTTGTCTGAAAGAGTCTTACCACAGGAGTGAGGGCCATGTGGCAGCTGTAGATCTTGGCGAGGCCAAAATCAGCCAGCTTCACCTGACCCTGACTGGTCACCAGAATGTTCTCTGGTTTCAGGTCTCTGTGCATCACATGGTTAGAGTGAAGAAATGCAAGGCCGCACAGCAACTGCCTCATCAGATCCTGCGACAAACAACCGTGACAACAAAACTGAAACTGATTCTGTTTTTTTACTACCGTATTTATTCATGTATAATACGATCATATTTTTTTAGCTTAAAAAGCATTAAAAWTTTAATTATCAATAACCTGTGTATAATACTACCCCACCCTCCACTTTATGGATGATTTTTATGGTTAAATTTCTAGTATTATACACGAACAAATACAGTAATTTAATATAAGATTTAAAAGACGGCATTATGAAAACCATCCATATTTTAAAAATCGTTTCCATCAGTTCTCACTTTAATGCGGTCAGGAGATAATCCCGGTGCTGGAGCTTTTTCTAAGTACGTCTTCAGGTCTTGGTCCACGTGCTCAAACACCAGGGTGACTTTGGTTTCCTGGTCCGACCTCTGGATGGCGCAGACGTCCATAAGCCTGGTACGAAGGAGGAAAACACCACATTGTCTGTCAGAGGTGACACCGGCAGGGGACAAATAAAAACTACCTGGAAACACTTACCTGACCACGTTGGGGTGGTCGAACTGCTCGAGACGTCTCAACAGCGCCACCTCTCTGACCGTGGAGACCGGGAGGCCATTTTGGTCCGCCTGGACACGGACGTTCTTCAAAGCCACAAACTTGCCGCTCTCAGTGTCCCGGGCTTTATAAACGGTGCCGTAGGCGCCGCCGCCGATCTCTGCCACCGGCTCGTACTGGAGACTGGTGCAATGGGCCATCATCACAGTGAAACGGACTAAAAGACAAAGTATGACATACACAATAAAATGAAAATTTCTATTTTAGTAAATCTCATTTACAACTTAAGAAATCAACAAGGGAAACTAAAAGTTCAATATTAAGTGTGTTCTTGCTCCAGGAGTCGTAAAGATCACCATAATTCACCCTCAGTAAAAGTAATCTCTTATTACCAGCTTTATGTTTTCTGCCATTCCATTGTATTTACACTGTATGACACAGTTAAAATACTCAAAACATCCCTGTTTGACCAAATTATAAATGTCCATAAGTAAGTCGTCCAACGCTTCGAATACAAAAAGCACATTTAGGCAGAAACACATCAAAACACCTGCAGCACATTTAGCACCATCAAGATCAAGAGCTCGTTTCTCTAGTTTCTCAGAGCTTTTAAATTCTTGAGGCCTAAATGCAGAAAGCAGACACACAAACAGAGGGAAAAGGGTCATCCTAATCCTTCCTTTTCTTGAAGTCAAACCAGTTTGGTAGATTTCACCAGTTCAGTCAGCCCTCTAACCTACTTTCATCCATTCAGGCTCCTTTCCACCACCTCAAAACTCGGCAGAAGAATCCTTTTCAGGTTGTCTGTCTTTATAACTTGTACTAAAAAGAATTCAAGCACACGGTAAAGAAAGCGAGCACTCACCCTGAGCAGTGAGCAGCTGTAGGTGTCCTGTTGTCTTTGTTAGGTTTATGAGACACGTGGTCTATGCAAGTCTTGTTCCTGCCCCTTTTTTTTGTCCACCTAATCAATGGCAGCATTTCTGCTGAGTAAAAGTGTGACAGATAAAGGTAGATCCGCCCTTCCTGTTTGGCATCAACAAACACTGAACTTCACAGAGGTCTTTTTGCTTTTGAAAGAAACTCTTCAGTTATTTTAGGTTAAACCCTACATACTATTAAGAACGTCTCAGGGACAGAGGAGTCACATTAGAAGGAAGAAGMCCTCTCAACCACTTTATAAAAACCTAACAAAACTAGTCCTTGAACATTCTGGCCTGATTCCCACTTTATTTCAAGTTGATCTTATTTTTTTTATGAGGACATCACAGCTACAAACTTAAAAGGCAATTATTTGAAATGAGATACTTAGATTTTTAGATCAAATTCAAATTTTTGAAGATGAGTAATTGAAAAACATATTTTCCAACAAGAGCATTTCATTTTAGTGTTTTAAAATACAGCGGGTAAAATAAGTATTGAACACGTCAACATTTTTCTCAGTAAATATATTACTAGAGGTGCTAATGACATGAAATTTTCAGAAGATGTTGG